TATATATATATATATATACTATATTATATCATGTACTATACTATATTATATCATACCATCTAATGTACTATATTATACTATCTCATGTATTATACTGTACTATACTATATTATACTATCTCATGTACTATACTATACTGTACTATACTATACTGTCTACTGTACTATATCATACCATACTGTGCTATACCATAATGTACTATACTATTCATCATCACAATACTACCACGTACTATATTACTATACTATACTATTCCATACTATACTGTACTATACTATACTGTACTATACTATACTGTACTATTCCATACTATACTATACTATACTATACTGTACTATACTATACTGTACTATACTATACTATACTATTCCATACTATACTATACTATACTATACTATACTGTACTATACTGTACTATACTGTACTATACTGTACTATACTATGCTATACTATACTATACTATGCTATACTATACTGTACTATGCTATGCTATACTATACTGTACTATGCTATACTATACTGTACTATGCTATGCTATACTATACTGTACTATGCTATGCTATACTATACTGTACTATGCTATACTATACTGTACTATACTATACTGTACTATACTATACTGTACTATACTATACTGTACTATACTATACTGTACTATGCTATACTATACTGTACTATGCTATACTATACTATGCTATACTATACTATACTATACTATACTGTACTATGCTATACTATGCTATACTATACTATACTATGCTATACTATACTGTACTATGCTATACTATACTATACTGTACTATGCTATACTATACTGTACTATGCTATGCTATACTATACTGTACTATGCTATGCTATGCTATACTATCTCATGTCATACTATACATCATCATAGTAGTACTATGACATACTATGGGATACTATATTATATTGGGTGACATTTACATGGTATTCTATTCTATATCAGGGTAATATGCTGCCTGACATTCTTCCTCCTGCCTGCAATGTCACTGTCACCATTGTACACTTTGGTAATAATCGGAATCTCCACCCTGAAATGAATAGAACATCATTGTACATAATATTCTGTATAAAAGTACAATGAAAGTGTATATAAACCTTTACAATAAACTTCTTGTATTTGCTCCCTTTTGGTCTATCACATTTATACCACTGACAGTGTTTTGTTAGATGTTTGATAATTATAATCACAATACCTGTTGATCCTGCCAGAAAGTGAATGAGCTAAAAACTTCCTGTACTCTGTGGTCTCTGCAGCACTGATATTGGTACTCATTGTTCCCAGCTGTCTCAATGGGCTACAAAACCCTTTCCCTACATTATAGATAAGAGGAGAGATGTTCCTTTGCCCTACCACACTTCCTGTGCTAGAGTGACAACATTGCTTCTCCATAGATTCAGTGAGTGAGCGTTTTCACCCTGAGACAGGAAGTGTGTTACTGGTGGGATCCCCAACTGGAAATAAAGGGAAAATAAGCCTGAGAAAAGAAAACTAATGCAGCCGTCACATCTAAGGATTGGTATGCTGCAATATGTTATATTTTTGTTCTTGGGTTTTAGATACATTTCAACCTTTATTCCCCAATATCGATAAAACTTCACCTATATGCAGCTAAAACTTGAGTCAATGATCTCATATAGAAATCACACCCATTGTCATGAATAGGGTATCTTATATCTGATATAATTGACTCTAAATAGGAAATCCAAACCTCTCACTTGTCTCCTCCCAATGCATTGCACTCAGATCACTGGGGTAGACTGAGGAGTGCCTCCTCCTGCCTGCAGCAGTGTGATCAGGGGGGGTGGGGGGGGACTGAGGAAATGCTTCCTCCTGCCTGCAGCAGTCTGATCACTGGGGGAGGGGAGACTGAGGAAATGCTTCCTCTTGTATGCAGCAGTCTGATCACTGGGGGATGGGTGATGGGTGACTGGGGGATGGGTGACTGAGGAAATGCCTCCTCCTGCCTGCAGTAGACGGATCACTGGGGGAGGGGAGACAGAGGAATGTCCCCTCCTGTCTGCAACAGACTGATGACATCATCTCCGTTGGATTGGAGGTCAAGGATGTTTTTTTTTATCATAGGTGAAGCTTTTCTGTGTAAAATGACACTATTGCTGTATGTTTAAGCCCCATGGTGCATGCAATGAAATAAACAACCTCTGTGAACGAAAAATAAAATTTGCATGAGGGTGCTTTTGGACCCCCACGAAGAGCAAGGGCCATGATTACCACCCAGGGTGCAAGGCTCCTCACAGGGGCGAGTTACACCTAAGCCAAAACAAGGCAGACACAGATTGTTAGGGATCAGCCGAAGCCGGTCCACCTATGGTCAGTCAAGGCTCTTTTGAAGAGAGTCCCCTGATTGGGTAGAGGCAAAAAGACGACCCAAAGGCCACAGACAGGGCCAGATTTACTCTCTCCGCTGCCCCAAGGCCAGGTTCCTCAATGCACCCCCTACCCCTCCCCATCCCACCGGAGAATGGCAGACCTGCATACAAGTGATCTTGGTGACTTTGCTGAGATCACTTGTGCAACACTAGTGGCGGCTTCCGCACTGTACATTTACCTCTGCGTGAAAAGAATTACCCACCTGGCGCCCGGAACTGCATGTCCCGGGCATCGGAAGATAGGAATTCCATACTTCTGCTGCCTCTCTACTCCCTGCTGCGACAGGGCCGGCGCTTGGTTGGCCTTGTGGGAAATCCGGGCCACAGAACCTCTCCCCTAACATAGGGGTGTGCCCCCCGGAGTCCCTCTGTCTGTCTGTGAGGGTCAAAAGTGAAGTTGTGCACTTTGGGGACCCAACTAAAGACCAAGGAAGGAACCACTGGGCACCAAACGGTTACTAGAGGTAGTATCAAGCCTCCAATAGATGTCCCCGGAGTTCGGTGCTCTGGCCACGGAGCAAGCTGACCACAGAGCGGCCTACCTTTTAGCGCTCACAGTTCTCATAGACTCCAATGTTAACAAAGCAGGCCTCGTTCTACCGGCCATAGCTCCAGTTCCTTGTGGGCCAGCAGGCTCAAATTCGGGGTGGAAGTAGGGAAGCATTAGGGCTTTGTGCCAAATTTGGGAAATAGGTCTCTTTCCGAGGTCCAGGGACAGCCTTGGATAGC